CGGCCGCGCCGAGCCGTGTCATCAACACAAAACATTCAATACATAACGCACGCTAAAAAATAAAAAAAATAAAAAAATAGTAGGTTTCGCGAATGCGATTCCGTTGCTAACATCAGAAAATCAATTTCCAGTTCAGCTATCGTCAATAATTCATGGATTCGTGATTCAGCAGAACTCCGGACTGATCTTTCCCTCTCTCTCTCTTTCTCTCTCTCTCTCTCTCTCTCTCTCTCTCTCTCTCTCTGTTTCTCTCCTACATACGCAACTGCATACATGACCTTCAATATATCGAAGCTAAATTTCTTGTGATACTTGAATTATGAATTCAGTCAACGCGCAAAAGTATACGCGGGGAGACGTGTATCAGCAAATGCGCCATGTCGTCATAAATCATCGGCGGATATAAACCGATGCGGTGTGTAAGCTGGAAAAAAATATCTCGCGGTATCGCGCTCTATCCAATCCGAATTACGTATAAGCGTGCAGTTTATCACCGCCGCGCTATTTTCTATTTTTCGCCGGCACGAGTAATACAGGCATAATATCTCACAAGTGTAATATATATTCTATCGGAACACGCTATATTTCCCGATAGGATATCAAACTTCGCGAGATCCCGTCAGGCGGTGGATCGAAACTGCTCGATGGCTAAGGCAAATGAGAGATGACTGTTGCCGCTGTACGTGCGCGCGCGTATATGCATCATGTTGACGTATCGCTTTTTAAATCTACGTGTGTGCGCAAAATTACCGGATAATTCTTCAACGATCTTACACGTTGCTTTCGAGCTCACGCGCACAGGTTCTGAAAAAAAAAATAAATAAATAAATAAATTGGGCGGCAACATGTGCGCGATGCGCACTTTTATTTAAGTTTTGGATCAAAGAGTGTGCGTATTTTGTTGTCGAATCGTTGAAATACAAATGTCGAGAGGTAAACGCTGTAAAACGTTAACGGTATGGCACGTATTAACGCGAAAAGTTAAATCGAGCGAAACATATGTGACAACGCCATTATTGCCGTTATTTTTAGTTTCGCGTACAAAACACATGTGGCACGTGTGAACCGTGAGAGGAAAAAGATGGTGTAATAATTTTTGTAAATACCGTTTGCGCGCGATATTGCGAAAATGAAACAATCCTATATAAAAGTGTGTCACTTTACTGCATTTTTGTCTGCGGTAATTTTTAAAGAAACAAGTTTGAAATTATGTGGAGTGGTTTTTTTAAAACCACTTTCTATCTATTATAAAAGAATCTAAAATAATTTTTATTTATGTATATTATATTTTATTAATTTATTTATTTCTCTCTTTCTCGTTTTAAAGTTTGAATTTGATTTAAATTAATTAATACATTTTCTGAAACAAATTGATCTCACTTTACGATTGAAAATACTTGTATCTGACCTGAAAGTTTCTTATAGAAATTTCTAGCGCGCGTTTAGTATAATTCACCTGGATCTCTGGGGTTATCTTTTTAAAGAGTCTTCTTCACAAAAATGAAACTTCGTGCAAAACTAAACGACATAAAAGTGCCGTGAGTTAGAACTACAATCGTAACGCATCGCTCGAAAGTTATTTTTGCGGTTAGAGGATAAAAAGTTGAACGACGGCAAACACGAGACAGATATTGCAGCAACGTTTCCCTTTAAAGTCCTCCAGTCGAATTAATGACAGAAGTTTGCCGGAAGTAATAACGGTACCGCGGGCGCACTTTATTTAGTCTTGATATCGAGCATCGATTGAGGGACCTCCGCGAGGAGCCTCTCGATGCCGTCGTAAGAAATAAGAGTAATGCTACACATTATATCGGGACATCCGTCTTTATTGAGTTCCCGAGTCGAGAAACGTTGGGAATAAGTCTATAATTGATGATAAACTCAAAAACGATTAAATCGACAGGAAGTTTTTTTTTTTTTTTGTTTTTACGTGCAAATTAACCGCACGATGTACGCACGCGAAATGGATTCTCTGCGAAAAACACATTTACGTGTCACTTCATTTTCCTGCAGCACGAGCGCACTTAATTCTGAGCAATTAATCGTCTATTAACCGATAATTCCATATTCATCCGTGATTATATGAGCGATATCGTGCGCTGCCCCGGCGAGTAATATAATACCATAAATGTTACGCGAAAGTAGATAATTGATACGTCGACGAAGTGTACTCTGGGCAAACGTTTAACATTAAACTACATTAGAGTCACTACTACTCGCACTGTTTCAATATGGCGCGGCGGTACGTATATGAACTGATGATATGATAGTGTTTTGCAGAAAATTGATGCGTCGAGGAAGAGGGAGAGACAGAATGGGAGAGAGAAAGAGAGAGAGAGAGAGAGTGCTTCTAGAGATTTGGTCTCGTGTTGTAGGAAATTACTTAAATTTGATAATTTAATTTGCTGTGACTTGCGCATAGATGCACACGTGATAACGTATTCGCATTACCTTGTTTAAAGTTTCAGTTTAAAGCAGATGGAGTTTATAATCCGCGCGTACATAATCACAATGTTGGAAAAAAAGAACAATAATGTTCTTTTTTTTGCGGTGCTTGCCGATTTGTTAATGTTGAATATTTTCTGCGTTTGCTACCCTTGAGCGAGCGATCCGGATGAGAGGGTCGTTAGCTCGCGTTGGCACGGAAGAGACTAGACAAGAATCTTATCTGGGGGATGCTGGGCACCGATCCAGTTCTTCGTCTAGACGAGGGTGTTGACCCTAATATATGGTATCCGATAAAGTTTTTTATCCCCTACTTTTATGAGCTTATTCAATATTTGTCAACAAATTCTCTCTTCATTAAAAAAAACCAAATATTTTGGTTGCAAAAGGAAAAGAGAATTTTATTTCCAATATAACATCATTATCGATATATTAAAAGTTTTTTGTTGATTTTTGAATATTAAAAAACCAATTCACACAGAGAGAAGAATGAATTTCAAACGAACGCGTCGCATTAGCACATTGCGAGATCTTCTTATTTTGATAATTTTTTGTTAATTTTGCTAAAAAGTAAAAGTCTGACCACCAGAATATTTGACATATTTCGTGTGTGATTTTTACGGAGTTTTGAAACCACGCTCGATAACCGAATACCACGTACATTTCCGGTCAAACAAAACGGGATGTATATTTTACATCAGGATCAACATTAATTGCACACAATTAAACTCTATTTATGTATATCGAGAACACAACAGGTGTCGCGTATATACATTCTGGTACGACATATTAATTGAGGGGAATGAATTACCTCGTCGAAATATACGCGAATTCTGTATGTTACGCTTGTCGAACACGTTGAAACAATGTCAAAAGTCAAAAGTTAAAACGCGCGATAACAAATGCCAACGCGGCACTTGAACGCGCGCCGATATCTTGATTTCGCGCGCAAGAAAGAAGATAGATTTAAATTTAAGCAATTAAAATAAATTGCTTTACGGTTCACCGACATACGCGAAGAAATTCATTTTGCAAACAGCTTCTCTCCAAAGCTGTTTCCTTCCGTCGAAATACCTCCTCGTTTTCACGTAGATACTATCACGCGGAAGATCTAGATTTTGCAGTGGCAAAACTTTGGTCTCTATCTCGGCGACAAGCCATCCCGGTTCATTGTCCTTTCGGCGCTTTGATAGGGCAAAAAGGGGAACGGAAAGTAAAGGCGGTTCAGAATTAAACTTTCGCGCGGAGACAATGGAGATCTACTTTGGTACACACGTTGAAAGAGAATACCAGAAGCAATTCTCTCCGGCAATATCTGTAGCGGAGGAGATTGAAGGACGGAAAGGCGTAGAGGAGAATGAACAACGTCAATATTGCGTCTATTCCGTCCTTGACTTACTCCCTTATCTTTCGCAAAGTACGTTTAGTATTCGTCGCGTCTAATGATCAAAATTCACTCGGTAAAACTAATATTTTGAGTTTTTGTTATCGCGCAAAATTTTTTTCCGCGTGTGTTTTCTTTTTTTTTGTATTTTTATAATTACGTTTTTTACACACAAGATCGCACACATTTTGCGTGTTCAAAGCAAATTTAACGGGAAGCAAACTGAGAAACACGGTATTATCATTCGTTTTCCCTTGCTTGAGAAGCTTAGTTGGGCCGCAAGCTCCTTATCTCCAATCACTAATTACTCAGAAAAACCGTGAATACCTCGACATTTCTCTTGTGGAAGGACAATGGGTTGTAAATTGACCAAAGAAAATTCATTATGAGATAACGGGGCGTAAGTGAGACAGCAACCGTATAATCAATTACACGAGGACGTGGGGAAAGCAGAGAGATGTGAAAAAAAAATGATATCTCACGAATAATTCACGGCAATTTTTTTTTTATTGCCTTTGAAGGAAACTGAGAAATGTGGCGCGAGAAGAATATAAGTGTGTCCCTCACCTAATAACGGATTCAATTACGCGATTCTATCCGAGAGTCCGTGTAGCTCTCGAGGTTACCATGATGTACGGCGCGATGTAAAATTTAAAAGTGACGCGTACCAAGACTCGTAACCGCCTCATGACTTGTGGTTTCCGTTTCGGCGTTATGGTGGCCATACTAACCGGTTTCGGTCGAAAACGGGACACCTCGTTCTCTCCGGGGAAATGTCTAAAAACGACCTGACGTCGCCGCTCTCTGTGCTCGCTCTCTCCCCCCCGCTTCCTTTCCCCTCTCCGCATACGTATATCCGGCGCCCAAACGTTCTCCGGAGCGAAACTCGCTTTCCGTTTTGTGTTAAAAATGTATCTGTATATCCTGTATAATCTTGACTCATTTACTACAATTCACGGAAGAAAAACCGCTTCTGCAAGTAAGTTTTACTCATTCACAACGGGCGTACTTCTATCTACCTACCGTCTTTCGTAATAATTAACGTTACTTTGGAAATTCATGCGACCAATTTCGAACAGAATTCTTTTATTCTTGTTTTTTTTTCTTGATTTGTACATTTGTTTACATAACACAACGTATAAATATTTGAATAAAAAAGGCGCAATAATAATTGTGGCATTAAACAAGTTCTATATGTCGGGTCTGTGGTCAGTGCCGAGCGGATGTATGACGTGCAGCTCGCTTAGAAATTGTATGAGAATGAAGCTAAAGTAGATGGAGTAGAGGAGACCGCCGTAAGACTGACGCGCGATAGCTCCCGTAATGTTCAAGTAAAGTACAGTGGCCACCAGCGAGCAGAGAAGGAAAGCGAGGCAACCGGGCGCCATATCGCTGATCCTGATCTTCGTCTGTTGTTCGGGATCGGTGGCGGTAGCGATGCTGTATTTTAGCCCCAGTCCCAATAGAGTGTTAAACATCGGACCGCCGAAACAAGCTGCGTATCCCATGCGCGGAAATCCACGTCTGGCAATGGCGACATTCGATATGAGATCTGAACGGAGTTTCGGATTACCTTGCGTAGATATTTTACACGTTTACACGTGACTATTAATATTAACAAGCCGGTCTTTATCGGATGCTCGACAACACTTTCAAGCGTCACAATTGTTAATTAAAATTGAATAAGTTAAATTAATTATAGCGCGTATTGTGTTAAAAGACGTCAGCGTGTGGCGTGGATATTCGGATTGAATTTTAAATTTTGGTTTTTCTCGTTTGCGTTCAAAAATTCTATTTAAAGAAAAGTGCGATCTCTCTAGCAGATCTTCTTTGTGGTTATTATGCGCGTACTTTCTTCTGGCGTTTCGCAAGAAGTATTTTTCACGCGACTCACCTCCAATGCTGTTTCCCCACGCAAGAAAAGTGATACCCAACATGGCGTCGGATATGCTGCACGCGTATCCTATGCATTGGAGTGCCGCCATGATCTCCCCAGCCACCAGATAAACCGTCAACATGGCAGCCAAAAATCCCAAGAACGCGAACGCCTAAAATTAATGACAGTAAAACGCGTTTTATTGTCGATATTAATAAAATGTCGGATATATATTTGTGCTTTTTTTTTTTGCTCGCTATGCCGCGAACATTTCTAAAGTTACGGTCGTATTTATTCGCGCAAAGAGGAGAAAAAAAGCTACTCACATTATGAAACTTCGGCACACGGTCCGCGTGCGTCGTTAGAAATACAATTACGCCAATTACGGCGCCGGCAGCGAGGAATATCGCCACTATTGGCACATTGCCGAAAGTCGTTTCCCAAACTGTAATAAAACAGCTGAAATGCAATTGAAGTGATACACCGAACGAAACGTCGTCAAGTGTCGATGCGATAATTACGCCTTATTAACCAGTCTTTTGGATTTGAATTTCACGAAGGTATTGAGAGAAATTTGTTTGTAGCATTGAAAGTTGCTGGCGAAAAAATACAAGAAAGAAAGCAATAGGTTTTTTTTAACAAGTTTTTCCTTTTACTGCATCGAGGTTTTTTTGTTTTAACATATTTTATACGCAAATACACAGACAAAACTAACTTTCGAGCGGAAATAGCGCTATGGTAGGTGTCACGCATAACTGAAAGCAATTCAGTAACTTCGACCAGCCGTTCTTCGTCGCGGTCGGATCCACAACCGGTATGGATAACTGTAGTAAAAACATTGCGGGCGAACGTACAACCAAGACAGTTCTAAGCAATATACCGGATTTCTTCCATTCCTCCGCAGAAATCGGATTGACGTCGTACAAAAATTCTCTAAAAAGACCCTTTGGTCGCTCGAAAACGTGGTCGCTAATTTCCGGACTCAGCTGGATGGGATCGCCCAGTATTTTGGATCTCTCCACCTCCGTTGCCACGGCAATATCTGACTTTGATAAACGTGTATAAGTGTACAGAAGTGTATTGAAGACTGAAACATTTAACAAGATTGCGAAATAAATATAAAGCAAGACGAGAGAGAGAGAGAGAGAGGAAAAACTCTCTTCGGAGAGAAAAATAGATCTCATGTATGTATCAGATTGGAGAAATTTTTTTTCGTAGATACTAAAACATTTATTGCTATTACGCATTTGATATTGCAAACTGTAAATTAAACGTATCAATATAAACAACAGACTATTAGCGAATAACTGATAATAACAAGTTACATGTCTAAAAGATTCTTTGCTTTCAAAGAATCTCTTAGACGAGAGGGAACGGAGATCTGGGATTTTTCGAGGGATTCGATGTGCAGGAAAAACAACACGCGTGAACGAAAAAATATGTAGACTGTGAGAATAGTTAAAAGACTTAAACGTAGATAAGTGCGATGAGTCGTAAAAAACGATGTGCCATACCTAGCTTGGCACGTAAGCCAAAAGGTCGGCTTCTAGGGGGAATCTTGGGAATGGCGCCTGTGTCCCTATTCGCCAAGTAAGTATGCAGGACGTCTGGATCGGGTACACTTGGGATCCTGGCTGAAAGTACATAAAAATGTTCTCTGGGAAGAGGATCGATACTTAGTACGGTGAAAATTTTCTATAGACGATAAGAGAGAAGAAGCTAGTCATCTTTTTCACATTTTTGCAGTGAACTGAAGAGCGAAAGAGAAGACATTTTTATTTGCGAAATAGTTTCGAAATTTCGCGCGCTCGCGCGCGCACGCACACGCACGCAAAGTTATCTCGAAAATGTATCTTGAGTCGTACTTTCGTTTCGGTCTACGAATTTAGTTTTACTTGTGTTCGGGTAATGTTGTCGAGAGACGCGCAAACATGTTCTTTGTAAAAGTTACGTGTTTTTGAAGTTGTAGCTTATACCGCTCGAGATTCTTAAATGAAACTACAGACACTCTTTCTCGCGCTAATCCTCTCCGTAAATTGAAGAAGCCATAACGCACTTTTCAGATTCTCTTCTCTAGTCTCGCACATTTGCATTATCACGATTATCACGATGAAGACCGCGTATATCAGAATAAAGCCTGCAATTAAAATGTATCAGCATTAAGCAGAGCATCGGTCGGTATATATTCCTTTAAAATAATGAGCAGCTTATTAATATCGTGCAAAATAAATTTGACTAAAATTTGACTAAATAAATTGCGACTATATATGAGTTTTCTTCTTAATTACAAAAAAAAAGATCTTGATTGCTCTTTTCTCTTTAATATTAGAATGTCGAGGAAATAATGCCAGGGGTGCAGAATTCATTCCAAAAGCTCTTAATGAAACAAACAATAAGAAGACGCGCATGCTAAATGTAATAGCGCGAGAGACGCTATTTTATTTTTGTCTGTACAAACGTGTATTTGTATTAAAATCGTTGTTCGAGAAAAAGCACGAAATGCCGGTATAAACTAAATTGAGTTTCCGTCTTGCATTGTCCGTTTGTCTACTTATTATTGCCGTCTCGCGATGCAAAAAAATAAAAAAATAAAAAAAATAAAAAATGATTCGCGAGGTATTCAACCGGCTTTCCGCGCGGCTTAATAATAGCCTACATCGCTTTGTGCGGGCGCAAAATTATTTCCGTAGACTTTATCCATTGCAACAATAATCCCTGCTTTCTCGCTCGAAACGGATTCCTTGCCGCGGAATCCCGCAAAAATTCATCGACAGAGTCAGATTGCAAGACCCAGTCGGCAGGTGGTAGAGAGAGAGAGAGAGAGAGACTCGCGCGCGAGCGTAGCTTAATTAAATTCGCCGAAGAATTATCGTTATTCCGGAATGAAACCACTTATGGCTTCCCGCAGATAAACTTTCCCGCTCGTTGTGACGCGTCTGATCTGGTGTGCGAAATATCGATAAATTTTACCGAGCGCCATTCTAATTACGCTACTACAATAAAATCGGTATTACAGTCTAACTACTTCGCTTGGCATTCAATTACGCGTTCAAATGCTTAATTGGAATAATAGACAGTAAATTAAACACGTATATTTATATCACAAACGTAAATATGCAGTATATTATTCCTATAATGTAATAATATATAATATTTCTTTGTTTGTATTGCTCATATGTTTTCCCAGTTACGTAAAGATTGAGTAAATCAGAATTTGCGCGAAAGTTCGCGTCATGATTTATGAAATGTTGTTGCCAATTGAAATTATCTGTGTTCGGTCGCAGAACGCGAAGGTAAAATGATCGAAATTAAATGTATATTATTTATTTTAATATTCATACACATCGCGTTAAAGAATTGATCATTCAGCATTCAGAGCAAGAATATTGTTCATTTGTTGTATTATGTTGTTTTTTTTATCTCTACGTGATTAATTTGCAATACGAAGAGAGAAAAATACGTCACGGTTTTGCGATATTATTTCAAGATGCGGATGAATTCGGTAGCGATCGTTATTGCAATTTTTCGTCGATCAAAAATTAATGATGCAAAAATAAATTATTGTTTATTTCTGCTTACGTTTACGAGGATAAACGATTTATACGAAGAAAAGAAAGAAGGTGAACGTACTTGCGGCCTCCCAGAGATGAATCATTTCGTCCCAAACCACGTAGCTGATCCAGCACACGGAAAACATATAAAAACAGGCGTCTCTCATGAGGGAATCGAGCGAAACTTTAAAGGGTTTAATTATCGCGACGGAACCGGCGACCATGGCAGTCACGAAGACACCCGCGCCGATTAATTCAGTAAACATCATTATCTCTCCTTCGCCTCTCGACACGAGGGATGTGAAGATGTCAGGCGCGCCGTTTCCGAATGCCAATATCGTCACTCCCGCTATGTTATCCGATAGACGCATTATACTGGCTATTACCGCCAAAGCCGGACAAAAACTGAAAAAAAAAAAAAAATATAATGTTGCGGAGTAATCAATTTCACAACATCTCTTTGAATCTCACATCTGAGCATTTGCTATAAGTACACACATTCATTAAAACGTACTTTTGATCATAAATATAAAAAAGTTATTTCTCTCGTTACTTGGAACAAAATAATTTGTGTGCGCATGTGTACGTGTGTACAACTTTACGATCTTTTAATGAAACATAAAACATGTCAAGCAGATGATTCTGTAAGAAAACAAGTTTGCGGCGTGTTCGTTTGAGATGCATCTTACCTAGTTAACATTTATACACAGTGTTCGCCGTGTTTCATACTCTGTGTGCGGAGAATATGTTACTTACAAGAACGTAAATTTACTATCTTAACCGAGTTTTAACTATAATAATTACTGGAAGAGTAAAGATCAAAGCTAAACTTTGATGAACTTTACAATAAGCAAGGAGCGATTGATAAATATCCGAAACGACGTATAGATAGCGATATTAGCATTACATCGCTGTTGTCTCGTTGACAAAGTTTTATCCTCACCGCTTCCTAATTGCAAACGTAACAAAGAAAACATTGCGAAACGTCGTAGCGACGTTCGAACATACAGGAATTAAAAAAAAAAAAAAAAGAAAAAAAAACGATAAGTGATCGCAAGTCAAACGAAGGATAGAAAATATAAAATATGACTTAAAATCCTCGTTCTCAGAAATCTAAGACCGTGTTATTGGATGTTCTCTTGCGTGGCAATCTGCCATTTTTCTTTGATATTTGTATAACTCGAAAGAGTAGAGAAACCATCGTTTATCATTTCGAAAGAAACCATTCCATGGAATATACAGATGGGTGAAATACGGGAAAACATGAATCCTTCGGTTATTGGCTTGGTTAGTTGCCAACGAAAAATTTCTTGTAGTCGTGTAATCATCTACATTCTGTGTAACACGTTTCTTCGCAATTGAACCGAAGCGTTCGAATTTGTCGAAAAAGATGGTGTTATATATCGCGTTAATATTATTGTTAGTTTATTGTTCTTATAATCTGCATCTGAGAGAGAGAGAGAGAGAGAGAGAAAGAAAGAGAGAGAGAAAGATTATCGAACGAATCATTCGCAAACTTATATTTATTTTTCTGATCCGATTTGTCACACTTATCATGTATCATTTTCTACAAACATATTTTGTAAGAAAAAAACAAAAAGAAAAGATATAATATAAAAAATTGGAAGTAAAAACTTATAAATGATTATAAACCGTCAATTTATACAAACAATTTGCAAAATAATAAACAAGTAAAATAATATACGAATATTTGTGCGTCGGGTTACAATCGTCTTGCATCAACTTACAAATTATCCGCCGTGGTTCCCAGGATCAAAAACAAATAGAGAAGCCATAAAAGTAAGAGAGCCAAGCCGCCGGCAAACAGCGCTACGTCTTCGGATTTGAAGAAGCAGAACAACAGCACTGTGTACTGAATCACCGAGTTGGAGTAACAGTCTTCGGTGTTCCTCACCCATTTGCATCGCTCCTCGGCGGAAACTTGCCAAACGTACGAGCAATCATCCTGAAAAAAAGATTCGACGAGGAAGACCCGACAAGACGCGAAACGGAAGAGACGTCGATAACAATTCACCTGTCGTATGGGCAGATGCCCGTGCCTTAAAAAAGAGCCCGATATTTGCGACCTCATGTTCGAAAAGCATAAAAGAGCAACGGGGCGATATGTAACCTATATTTTGTGTATTTGCCTTTCACAGATCCGCTCGATCGTTGCCTATTCAAGCAGAAGCGAGTGAAACTTCAAGCGATATAGACAGAAAGCTGTCACATACGTAGCGCACATACTGTGCGCGCACACAGTTTGAAACGTAAACTCAATATGATGCACATGTAACATAAAGGGAATTCTTGACAATGACAGACACGAAGTGGCACAGCGCCGCGGCAAGGGAGCGTATATATATACATATGTTGATAAACGTAGGGAAAGTTTAAGCAATGAATAGTCTTTCAACTCGACTTTGAAAAGAAAACCACTATATGGAATATATCTGCAAGCGTTAAAATAATCTTATACTTTTGTAAGTCAGCGTAACAATTTAATTAGTCTTCAGCTTTGTCAAACAAAAATAGTTAGTAGTGCAACATGTCGGTTTTTTTGTAAAAAAAAAAAAGTGCACGGTCGTTGACTCTGGGCTACGTTCTCAAGATTGTCGCTGCTCGACAACGAGGTGAGACTGAACAGGTATCCTCATCCACACTTGTCGGATGGCAACGAGAGCTCATTAGACGCGCAAAATCTCTCTCTCTCTCTCTCTCTCTTTTTCTCTCTATCTATCTATCTATCTCTCTCTTTATCTCTTTCTCTCTTTCTCTTTCTCTCTTTCTCTCTTTCTTTCTTCTCACGTTCCGCCCCATTTCTGTCCCTGACGAGGCGATAAAAAAAAAGAACGCACTCAGGTAACGAGTACGGAAGGAAACTTCGCCGGCAAACGGATACGCTGTCATTTGAAGAGAGGGGGGTGGAAGGGGCGTGCGATATTATATCGACATTTATTCGATATTATTGTCAGCCTACGATAATGAAAATTCAATGACGCAAGACGTCAGTTCGTTAGATCCATTACTACCGACCGAGAACTTTCACGGTTATTATCAGCTTTATGGAAGAATACTCGCGAATAAAGAATGTTTGTAGAACAATGCAAAATTTCTCTCTCAAGCGCAAAGCGCACTGCGAGAGAGATAATTCAACGAGTACAAAAACTTCGACAATATTTTTATAGTACAACGTTGATGAGCCTCCAGATATTTAAAACAGAGTAAAATGTGTAAACGAGTAAAGTTGTATAAACGAGTAAAATATGTTTACTCAATATGTATGCATATCATTAGAACATACGGAACAATCTTATTTGCACACGTTATAAGTTTGAATTTTTTTACTAATTTTTAACACGTTTTAGTTATTTCTCGCAGCGTTATTGCGCTTCTATCAAGCGTGTCGCGAAATAATTATAAAAATTATAAAAAAATTGGTTCATTTGTCAGAAGTGATTAAAACATTTATTGTTTTTTTACACAAGATGTGTAGATTAATATTAATATTTGAAAATTATAACCCACATATATTCTCGCATTATTTTTTCCCCCTTACTAAAACTTGTTAGATTTATAAATCTTGCTTGTCAGATATATACACGGCGGATCCGCAAAACCGATAAATCAGTCAAATAGGGCGCGAAAGATAAGGAACGTGATAAATTAGATTTAAAAGAGATTTGTTATTCTCTAGCGTTAAATTATGTACAGAAGAGGTACTCGATATCGCGCACTTGACCGTGTAAATTAGCCTTGAAGAAAGATTACGAGGGAAATTCGCGCCCTCGACGACGTCTATCAGTCTATCTTCCATTGTTGTCTACTAGTTCCTAACAACTTTCCATTAAGCCGACCTTTCGGCGGCAGTGTACTTCATCGTAATTGCCAACTTCAGCAAATTGTCATTTATCGCCAGACTTCTTTTGTGCCGCTTTCGCTCTAAACACTTTATTGAATAGCATTCACAGAGCACAAAGGAGCCCAACGGCTTTACCCCAATTTATACTGCGCTTTTATTCTCTCTTACGAGAGAACCAAGCGCGCTCGCTTGGCTTTTCCGGTTTTCTGTTTTGGCTCTCTCTTTCTCTGTGCCGCCTGCACATTTATAATAAAGCGCATGAGTGATATAAGGTTGGAATATGCAAAAGCTTCTTTCCGTAGTATAAGACGACTCTTACAATTAATGTAACGGCGTGCCGGCATTGTGTCGTTGAAGCCCCGGTATACGCGCACACGGGAGTGTATATAATATACGCGAGTGTGCACACATACTCGGTTATGCTCGAGTCGTTTGCCGTGCGCTTTAAAGAATAATTCATAGCGGAGACAAACCAAAAGAGTAGTTGTAACTGTCGGGATAACGAGGTAATTTATCTTAATTGAATCGGCCGCTTTAAAGAGACCGTGAAATTTTTCTATTGTGCTCATCAATCTCATTTTGCACGAATGTATTGTTTTTTTTTTTTTTTAATACGAGAACGAGAATCCTGTGTGTCGCGCAAACATTTATTTTTGTATTTGTATAGCGTATACAGTGAGCGCATTTCTGTTTTGAAAACGCGTTGTATGAGCTCATTACGTAATTGAATCAGGGAAAAAACAATACGTACGTTTGTTTAATTGCATTCGCATGTGGAGAAAAATATAAATCGTTCTGTTCTCTGTTATTTTTTTTCAATCGAGAACTTTTCACCTCTCTGTGTGTGGAGAGAGAAGCGGTTTATATATTATCTAGAATAAAAAACTAAAACCAATGAGAGCGCGCGCCACGTGAGCGCCAACTCAGAAAACAATAACAGTACTGATAGTTCAAGCGAGAGAGTATATATATATATATATATATATATTGTTCTCTCTAACAATATAAAACATACATTCGCCTTAGCCCTCAAGATCTTTCTACCGTGTGAAATGTGTTTCGCATTGTGTTTCGCTCACAATGCGAGGGCGGAACACACTCGTTCGCGATAACCGTAAATAAACTGAAAGGATGTTATTTAACTGCAAAATAACATCTTACAAATATTAAATAAATAAATTCAAGTGCTTTTTCTCGTAATAATTTTATTTTTGGATTGCGTTTTATTCAATTATAAAATCGCATTAAAAAAATTGACCGCGCGCGTCTCGACGATATTTATCAAACTATATCAGAGGTATATATATTTTGGCGTGTTTCAAGAGTAACAAGGGAAAACTTTAATTAACCTAAGATTACGGTCGTTCGTCTGACAATTACCAGCGGGCGTCTAATAACTTGTTGCAGCGAGAACGCGCTTGATAGCTTCTGCCTATACTACTTACTGAAACAGATGCTTCTGATAGGTGTCCGCGATATCGATTATCGTGATTCTTTTCTTATGGACGTTTTTTTTCAACATTAATCGAATCAGTTGTCGCAAAAACTTGTGGAACAAGAGAAAATGTCGTTGGCAATATTTTTTTTATTCGCACGCGTTTTCGCGGTGGTGGGTTTTTTAAACGTTGCGAAATATATATTTGTATTTTTGTGCAGTTTTCACACAATGATTAATTTTACACACATTTCGGTTCTTACTATCTTAAACATGCGGAGATTTTAATCTTCCAAGAACTTCACTTCTTGTTCGATAGCAGTTCGTTCAAACTGCTCAATAATTGTTCGTGTGAGAGTAATCGGAAATCTAACTGCAGCGCCAGACCTTTCTCAACCGAAGTAGGCCATGTTCAAGTACCGATCGCCGAAGAGGGGTATTCCCAAGAAAGGCACCCCACAGCAAACTGCTTTCTGCGTCCCCAGCAGCTCTCCGTGAGTGATGAAGAGTCGCGTATTCGGGTGGTCCAGACATTTTATGATAAAATGGCGCTCTCTGGTTATCTCCGTTCGCAGTATACATTTTCATCGTATTACAAGGGGAGTCGCGATTCGAGAGATAGAATTTAACAACTTTTCGAGATAAATATATAACTTGCGTGTCATCTTTATATACGTATATATTAAGCTTCATTTTTTTTTCGCTGAAAAAAATTTTGTAATTGATTACAAAATTTGTAATAACTTTCTTCGGTCTTTTATCTTAATGTAACTTGCAAGTGCACCAACGCATGACTCGAGTGGATTTAAAAATTTATACGCAAAAATGGAACCGTAATAGTGGGTAAAAGTAATAAGAATAACGAGGTTTATTGCATAATACAACGAAAATGGAATTTCATGAAAAGCGTTGGTCACACGGCGGTTTCTAGAAAAAACGGGAGATGAATACCTGAAAATAATTCGTTCTCTTCAGGTATACGCGGGGACGGTGCCGTCATAAAACTGAAAAAAAAAAAAAAAAAAAAACAGCGAGTCACGTGCGAGCTATGCGCGTGAATATAGATCGTGTGAATTGCGTGGAGAATGTGTGCGTGTTGCGGATATAGACGCAATTATTTTTATCCGTTGCATTGCCGGAGAGCAATTGCTTATACGGCACTAAATCATAAAACGCCGCCGCATAAAAGACCGGAGGAGAAACAAAGGTTTGCCAATCGCTATGCAAAATTACGCGTCAATCATTCAAGCATAGCTTTTTTTTTGTGTTTCGCGAGTAAATGTTTAAGTAAATTTATGCGCGCAACAGAATGTTTCCGAAAATACCGGCGCCGGTTATTCTTCTCTTTTCTGTTTGTTTATATTTTCCACTCGGTCTCTGCTGTGTGTCTTTATGAAGATTTTATCTCGCATATCTTGATAAACGTGTCGCAGACCTTAATAACAACAAGCGGTAAATGTGTAATGGACATTAAAAGCTGTTCAATATTCGTGCAAATTGACCTGCGGATTATTTAACGATAATGCAAACTTCAGATGGGTTTTATGCGATCGCTGGATAATGATATCGCAATAAATAAATGATTCGCTCGACTGTACCCGGGCAATACGCATTATTCCCTCCGCGTGTACATGGGTGGGTGGATTCGCCGCTTCCAAATACCACCGCCGACAGTGCCGTGGTTTGCGAGGGAACTCTCTATCGAGTTCACTGAAAATTCTGAGCGCGACGTGTATGTGTGTGTGTATGTGTGAAATAGCTGCTTTCGAAAATTGCGATTTCTATTTAATAGCGATTTAAATTGAATTTAATATTTCACTGTCAAAAT